ACTTTGTTGATATCTTTAAAGTAGAAGTTTAAAAGTAAAATTAACTATGTTATAATTAATTATATGGAATTAACTGTGTTATAATTAAGTATATGCAATTAACTATGTTATACTTAATTATATATAATAACGATAAGTACTCTTAGAAACATAAAATTGCCTATTTCGTTACTAAGTGTAACTGAATTTACCGTTAATCGTAAACTTTTCATTTTATCTTCATGTTTACCAAAGAGTGTTAAAATACAATTTAAGAATAATTATTAGGGTTAGATCTAAATGCAACCTATAATCATTCCTGTGATACTTTTAAGTCTATACGACTGTTAACTTTTGTTAGTGGTATACAAAGTGAAAGCAAATAAATGATTTTACGACGAAAAATGATTACAGGTATTTGTATTTTGTTGATTACATAACAGCAAAGAAATACAGTCTGACAACAATCCCAAAATACATTCCAGTAATCGCCCAGAAATGCATTTGAAGTGGAAACAATGTATTGCGTGACTTTGTTAATAAGTAGTAACTACACAAAGATAGGGCCAGAAATTTTTTTGATGAAAACTGACTAAAACGAATGAGATGCTACAGTTAACACTGAACGAATTTTCTGGATTATAGATATGTTCAGGCTTAGGCCTGGCTAAACAGATAAACTTAGAACAAGCTAATACAATTATTACTGTCAATATTGAATCTGTTCTTTCTTTTCGTGGTTGGTAGGCTTATTACGTGTTGAAGTTAACCGGTTTCGTATACATAGGGATATGTACTATCTAATATAATTTGTAATAATGAGGATCAGGACTATGATAAATACACATAAAATAAAGGGAATCCATTGGTTAGTTATTCACTCTACTCACAGTAGTTTTAATACTAAGACTCAAGTTTTAAAAGGGTTCACCATTAGAAGGGCTTGGTATCTTACTGTGACTTCCTGAAACATTTTGATGTGGCTGAGTACAAGAACTTTCAAAGGTTATTCAGAAATATTACTTGACGCAGGAAATTTAGATGATTGCATCGACAATAAATAAAATACTTCACGTGTGATGCAAGAGCTCCATTATACTTATTTTTCACAGAACTGTTCTTATCCCTTGTTTGAAAACTTGGCTCACCCTAATTAACGGGAAATTTACGAAAATGAAAGGACATATTTCACGAAAATGAACACCGGCTCGCAGTAGAAACGTTCGTCAGCGTATCATAAATGGAAATCTAAGGATATTTGCATATGAATGTGTCAAGGGCTTTAACACTGACATGCAATCATTAACAGAAAATTCCAACTACATAACAACCCAAATACAAACTTGCGTACAATGTCTCTCATATTAAAAACAACAAACGATTCCAAAAACCTTGTATTAGCTAGAAGTTTATCGTTGTAACAGATAAAGCATAGAATTATTAAAGTGAGTGCAACGAAGTTCCAGCAATATCTTATTACCTTTGAGGAGAAAAACTGTCTCGAAAGTTTTTCTTATTTTTCAATGGCTTCAAGAGTTTTACATATTCAAGCTATAGAAGCAAGCAAATGACCAGGAAAGTGTCTTTATATGTTAATTTAAACTTTTGTGTTACCAGTAAAATGTGAGAGATTAAATTTTCATGAATGATATTCCATTTTTCTACAGTAATGATGCTCAAAATATAAGCTTCATGATCCTCAACAATACCTAGAGTATTACTCTTCAAGAAAGGCCTATATATTTTGTAGAAATTCGAGGACCAGGTCTGCAATCAATTATTTTCTAGTGCTTAATCACTTTGATTAAATATGGCTATGTATAATTTGTCGATTTAAAGAAAACATCCAGAAGAAAACGTAGCTTTAGATTTGTCAGAGAGACCGTTTTTCATAAGAAAACTAGCACATTAAAGAAACAGAAAAAAAAACTGAGGTCACAGTTATAACTGCTTTCCTCAAGCGAAGTCTTTAACTGGCTCTTTTTCACTACTTTAACTGTGGCAAGCACTATAGGCTACATAATTTGTTTGATTTGTAAATATATTCGTCATTTTCAATAATGTTTTGGGGAAGGAATGCAATTCATCTTTGATGGCTCAAAAAGGTTTTATGCAGAAGCGTCATTTTACAAAAGGTTTGGGGTATAAAGTAGGCTGACCTCGCGTGGAACCTCCCCCGCCCCATCCAATTCAGCTGGGGTTCCTATGTTGTTATTTGTGTATATGACTTAATCTAGAAATGGTTCACAGAAACTACCATTTGGATCTTCCTCTCGAGCTTTGGAGGGAGCGACCACTCCTATCAGTCCCACAATTGTCGTCCCTCGTTTTATGGACTCCAAACAGTTGAATGAATTTAATAAAATTTCCGAAAGCGTTACCCTGAAGGTGAGGCAACACTTCAGTGAATTTTTTGTGCATTGGTCTGTGAGTTTCTTTATCTGTATATATATTATAACATTATTTGCGTATGGTATAAAAAAATCCTTAAAAAGTCGCTTTCGTACATTTGAGTTCATACATTATTTATAAAAATTGATTAAGAAGTTCAGTCTGAGTCTGTCAAGTCACTGTTACTGATGGCAGAAAAGTCACAAAACGAGGTCCAAAATATCTTAATTTAAGATAGTGTGGTGTTGTATTCCAGGTTTATCTACTTTCACGTTATTCTTTATAAAATAGTCCAGCCTTTTGGATATCTGTATCTATTATGTAACATAATAATACAATTAGGCAACATTGACTCTAGTAAAATACTTATATAATACAACATTAATACGATTAGGAAGAGTAATTGTACTTGCATATGGAACAATAAAGGTATAAACATTTGCCAGTATGCCATATTTATCTTCAGTGTTGTCTAATTAGTTAAAGAAACTGAAAAATTAGACTTTCGTAACATGATATGTGCATTGTTACTTAATGTACTGGAATATTTCATGTCACGACTTGGGAAATTAAGAGAGACTGTAAGTGGTTACCAAACTTCAGCAATTTGTTTATAAAGAAAGAAGTTGTGAATTTATTTCTATCTGCGAAAGCGTTTATGTAACGAAGCTGACATTGATGTTGCCTCATTGTTTAAATCCAATTTCACTTGAAAGTGTAGTTTTGAGCTCAGTAAGACAAACTCATTATTGCCCAGCACAATTAGGTAGTTTATTTTAGGTGAAATGCTAAACACAAATTGTGCATTAGAAGTGGCTGCGATATTGAAAAACAAAGCTTTCCCTACCGTATTTTCATATGTTGAAAAAAATCCCCAAGTGAGAACAATCTAAGCCAAAGCTAGTGCTTCAACTACGTTGTTTGAACTTCTTTTTAGTTGCCTTCGTTGTTATCGATCTTGGTGAACGAATTAAATTAGGTAGTCCTCATAATTGTATTCTTCAGCTAATCAGAATTTACTACTTTTGCTAACACATATATATTTTTTATTCTAAAGAGAAATATTACCAGAAATCGTATGATGAGCTGATCATCTGTATTCTCTTGTTTTAGTAGAAACGTATTTCCTGAACAATAACCTATTGTAGAAATTATTTTCTAACCGAGTGTCTTAATAACAAAGTAACAAGCTCTAAGTCTAATTTAGTAACGCTGTCTTTGAGCTACAAAACTAATTGAAGTTAATGGAATTACACTTAGTATCTTAGGATTTAATGTGTGTTCTCAACCGAATGTAAATCTATGATGCATATATAGTCGTGATGTAGACAAAACTAACATAAAACTCAATCATAATAGAAAGTTTGGTTTGTTTTGAATTTCGCGCAAAGCTACACGAGGGCTAGCGTAGATATGGCCATCTGTTTTGTGCCCACCACAAATATCGAAACCAGGTTTTTAACGATGTGAGTCCTCAGAATTACCGCTGAGCCATTTGGAAGCGAGTTTATTTTACTCGTATTCCGACTAATTTGATTGTTTGAATTTTGCGCAAAGCTACACCAGGGCTATCTGTGCTAGCCGTCCGTAATTTAGCAGTGTAAGACTAGAGAGAAGGCAGCTAGTCATCCCCACCCACCGCCAACTCTTGGGCTACTCTTTTACCAGCGAATAGTGGGATTGACCGTCACTTTATAACTCCCCATATAGCGAGTCGAGCGCCCTAATCGCCTGGCCATGCCAGGTCCCATAATAGAAAGTAGGTATAGCTATCCAATATTTTTTTAGACATGTCGTAAACGTGACAACAAACACTTTCCTTAAATGCACAATCTCTCAAAGGAAACTATTTTGCCTAACTCTTTTTGGTGCCTGAATTTGACTGTTTTAGTTAGCTTTTACATGGTTATTGACAAACGAAATTATTCGGCAATCGCCCTATTCAGTAAATTTTAAGTGACCACCAATATTTGGTCTAGCTGTTGCCAGTCACTTATTTTTGGTCAATAAAAACAATATTAGTTTTCACCACCAGAGGAATCTGACTTGAGTGTCTCCACACGAACTGGTTATGGCTCTAACATACTAAATGCTAGCCACAAACCGTCTAAAGAATCATATTAAGTAATTGCATATTGTTATCACTAGATCTTTAACTATTATTCTTTAGAAAAATGTTAGTTAATTTCTTTGAGTCATACTTGAAGCATCAGAATAAAAACACAAACACACACACACAGAAAAAACAAACACCCAATAAATGATGTTACTGACGAAATCCAGCTGAACATTTAAAATTGGAGACTAACTGCTATTTACGGCATAATAACTTCCATATTGATGTTTAGCAAAAGAGCATTAAGCCTTTCTATTACATTAAGAAAAACGGTTATTCTGTTACTCTTCTGTTTATAACCTATTCTGTTTATCATATAACAGTCATTTTTCATGTTGCAATTCATTATATACTCAATGAAAATGCAAAATTATTAATACCTATTAAAATGTTCAGTTATCAAATGCCACTCAACAGTTACACTTATTATTAAATATTGACTTATACGTGTTATACTGGCATTATTTTAAAAATCTACTAACCAGTAACGTTAACTTGATGTCTCCTTACTTACCTATCGGAAACTCGTCTTTTACACCAACAACAAGGTGAGATAAAAGACACACACTTAACAAGAGCCATGAGAATGTCATAATGATCAATGAAACAAAATCAACTTTACGTTATCTAAGCCTAAACAGGATGAAACTCTAGAATGCCTCTTTAACAGTTAATATTTAACTAATTGTCAGTGTAGAGCGCGAACAACGTGTGTAGTATTCCTCGGCGCTGGCCGAGTAGGCCACGAGTGCTGCGAACAGATGGACCGCGAACGCGGACAAATTAGGGCTCGAATACGCATGCGTGATGGATGAACATCAAAAAGTCAATTCGTATCGGTTCTTTCCTGGAAGTTGGAAGTGGTAGGAGGGTTCATCTTTGATTTATGAAACTAATAAATAATTTCTTTATCTTAAAAATAACGTAAAGTTATTTCTGTAAAAAAATATTTATAATAGTTCGAGGTAAATAGCTTAATAACTTCCTGGCTTTCGTATGCATTATTTTAGGGTTAGCGTAAGCTAGGTTCTCGGCTTTGTTTACCTTTCTGAAATTATATGATGAAGTCTCCTGCTTCAGAATGCAGGTAGACTGAGGCGCACGCATCAGGTGGGGCGTGGGACTGCATTCATCTTCCTTGCTCCCGCCTTCATTTCTGTCTCAAACCTTTAAGGGTTTGGCTGACTTAACTACAATAAAAAATGATTAAATACAGTTAATTTAGGTAAATTATTTAGCCACCACATTTTGTTGGAACTTTGTATGCCCCTTGAAACCTTGAGTATTTTTTTTTAAGTTGTATGTAAATATTTTTAAATTAAAAAGCCCTATGTTACTTGGCACGCCCTATTTATTGTAACTCCATATAATAATATAGAGGGTACTATAAATATTTAATTCTAGATTAACATATAAACTACTATGGTAACTTATTAGGTTTACAGTAATTGTCTCTTATAATTGTCAGTCGGTTGGTATTTTATACTTTTGAAGCATTAAACATTTATTGTTGTAAATTGCAATGGCCATGGATCTGTAAAAGTGTAATAACGTTAATGCAGCATTAGATCTGAGGAACAATTGGTATTAAAATTGTACATCAAAAGATATGCTTTTAGTTTAAGCCTCTTAGTACTGAATTAAGTTCACATTGTCATATTGCAACAGTGAAAAGAATGACAGAGAAATGTTTAACATCTCGTCTAATGGTTGGCCATATGCAACTTAATTTACAATTTCGTGATTCATAATGCTTATTTTTAGGTGCACATGTACTTTAGATGTTCCAATAATGGAGTCTTTGCATTTATTTTTGTTCTCTCAAAATTTTTGCTAAAACAAATAAACGTAACTTGCAACTAAAGTATTCATTTAATATTGTTAATATTCAAATAATCTTTGTAAATGTGTGGTGCGTTCTTTAAGTTCCTCAAAAGTGAAACGTAGCATAATAGTTTTGTGTTTTTGCAGAAATATTTCACATTAGTTTTGTAATTGGAAGGAAATGTTGGTAGTTATTACATTAGGATCGATAGGATTTCGTGTAAATAGATAAGAACTACAACATCAACCATCGTTGTTCTCTAGTTATTGGAGAATACATCGGTTAATTAAGACCTTTTTTGTGTTGTGTTAAGCAGCACAAATGAATTTAGAAAGACGATAGAAAAGCATGGAAATTAAAGTATTGTAATTGAGATAAATACATATGACAAACACCACAAGCATCATTTTTAACGTAGTAGTTTGTCAGGGATCTCTAACTTATTAAGATAACAAGTATATTACTTGTACTGATATGTCAGATATGTGATAAGGAAAACTGTTGACTTTTATCAACAGCAAAATAATGTTGGTAAAATTATTCATTTATAATGTTACACACGTTTAACCAAGTACTGAAAATCTTGAAGTTAAGTAAACTTTGAATGAGAGTTAAATAAAGGATTTAGTAAAATCAAACATTTTGAAAATATTTATTTTAACAGAAATTCAACCGTATATTTTGGAAACGGTACTCTGTGTTTAGAATAAAAGTTATTTTTCACACATTCCGCTTTTTTGTACATAATTATGTGAAGGGTTCACAAACGGAAATGTTGAGATTTAGTGCTAATTAATTGTGACAATTTGATTGTAGCTTGACCTCCTAATGATATTTAATGCTAATTAATTGTGACAATTTGCTTGCCGCTTGACCTCTTAATGAGATTTAATGTTAAGTAATTTTGACAATTTGCTTGCAGCTTGACCTCCTAATGATAATTAATGTTAATTAATTGTAACAATTTGCTTGCAACTTGACCTCCTAATGCATTCCAGAGAGAGTTCAATGGTACAAAACAATCTAAAGGATATTAACAAAACGTTTTTATCAAATATTCACGCTTAATTTATCCTAAAATAAACATATATTCAGAGGTTTCGACTTATTCGTTACTTTGCTTTATACCATGATATACTAGCGAAATTCAAAAACAAACAAATCTCGTATCTTAAAAATGACATTTAGTGCTTACAGCATGTGGTAATTGTCATGGTAATTAATGTAAAAACAGACAAATCTATTGTTTCTTATGGTAATAATGCTTAGCTGTAAGGGATGGAATTTCCATTAAAATAGATTGGACATAATAACACAAAATTAGCTGTAAAGTCAAAATCACGAATGAGCTAAAAATAGTTATGTATTTTATTAAAATTCTAATTCATCTATAAAGCATTTCTCCCAAAATACTTATTGCAGAATTTGAACATTCTATAATTTTTAAAAAATCTGCGCCAAATGACATTAAAAAATCCTGGTACTGATTTTCTGTAGTTGGATGCTCTTAATAGCTAAATCATTACCTCAGTGTCATTGCTGAATATATTTCACTTTTTACTTTATGTTTATTAGAATCACTCGACATTGGCGAAGTTGTTAAATGTAACAAAAAAAGTCAGTTTTACATTCTATATCAAAATTAATTCACACGAGCATAAAATTTAAAAATATCGCTTATCCCTAAAATTCTTGTTTTTTTAGAAGTGTTATAGTAGTTATCATGAAAGTGCTAATTACATATCAAAATGTTACTACCAGATACCATTGATACTAACAATTGTTTATTTGTGTCTGAATTTTCGATCCATACTAAACAAGGGGTACCTGCTCATAGCCATCCCTAACTTTGAGCTGATAGACTAGAGGAAGGTTACAAGTTTACATCAACCACCACTAACGTTTGTGTTACTTTTGTCTGACTACTGTCCCAAAACTTCATTTTAATAATTTGAGCATTGATGTAAAAACTGCATTCAAACCTTTTCATAAAACTAACATCTTACTACCTAACCCGAAAGAATCCCTATCAAAAGAACAAAATAGGGCATATACAGTATCCCATGTCAATGTGGAAAGAAATATGTCACGTTCATTAGAAATAAGTCACAAAGAACACCAAGGTCACATGCGTAGAGGTGAATTCCAGATATCTGCATTAACAAATCGTCAGTATGAAACAGGTCACAAAATACTTTAGGGGTGAAATTCTTCTCCTACATCAACCAAAACTAAAAAG